CCTTTGTGAGAGAATTACGCACAAATCTGTCATATCAAAACATTCTATTGCAATATTTTATCTGTTTTATGTGCTCTATATATATATATATATATTTGTTGCACTGTTGGAGGAGCCTGTGACCTATGTTTTTCATTGACATATCTACACTGTAGCTAATGGGCATATGCCATAAAGCCTTGAAACTTGAAACTTAAAATGATCAGAAACTGCATTGTCTCACTGAAAACAGCTCTAAAGAAAACCCAATTCCATACACAGTACTTAACTTTCTACCAGTTGTAAAGTGTTGCTCACTTCAAAAGTGTATCTAAAAAGTATCTTAGTAACAAAAACAAAAGCAAAAAGCATTAATGTTAACAACGCCTAAAAGGGCGGACTCCTGAGTTCCGTAATGTCCCCCTACCATGGCACTTGGACTATTTACATCATCCAGGGCTCAACACCAGTAAATACACCTCTCTTTATCCGCTCTCCAAGCCTCCAAGGGCGGACTCCTGAGTTCCGTAATGTCCCCCTAACATGACACTTAGATTATTTACATCATCTAGGGAAGCACACCAGTAAATCTTCCTTATAGTTAATAAAGTAATTAAACAATAAAAAGACAAGATCAAGGGGTCATTAAGATCTTTAAATTATTATTACCCTCTTCAAAGAGACTTCGTTGTAGTTAAAGTAATTAAACATTAGTTCACAAGCCATACAACTTAAGAGAACATCCAGTTCACAAGCCATACATTTTCAAAAGAACAACCTTAGTTAACAACAACTTCATAGGGACTTTTAAAGTTGTGTGAAGTAAGTAAACATTACAAATACAATATCAGGGGGTCATTAACATCTTTTTTAATTAGTATTACCCACTTTTCAAAAAAGAGAGTCCCTTGTAGCTAGTAAAGTAATTAAACATTAGTTCACAAGCCATACAACTTAAGAGAACATCCATAGTTAACACAAATCATATTAAAAACTAATCTAATTTTTTAGGTGACTTAGTGAATGAGAATTAATGGCTGATAGCAAAATCAGGAGGTGACAGGCAGGGGGAGGGGAGGGGTGGGAGGGGGTGTGAGGGGAGACACTCTCACACATCCAGACTCCATTTTTCATGAAGAGCCTCAGACGGAGGGTCTGAACCCGGCACAGATACTGCATCCGTTTCTTGACTGGCGCTCCCGACTGTCACAGGCGTCTCGCTGATTAAACCCATATCGATGCGTCTCTTTGCCATTTTCGTTTTTGAAAGTTTAGGTGACTTGGTGAGTGGAAATGACTGGCTTTTTATCTAGTTTGCACGGATTTCTTTTTTGCCTAACTCCACCCCCACCTCTATCTTCTGACATCACAGCAAAAGGAAGGGTGACAGAAGGGGTGGGAGGAGGACGGGGGTGCGAGACAGTCTCACACAACTTCAAAGAGACTACCTTAACACTAGTTACAAACACTGATCAAAGGACATACATCATAGGGCTAATTAGATTGACATCAAAGGCTTATAACACTCCGGTGTGATATCACACCTACATGTTACAACACCTCACCCCCTTACATCAAAGGACAGACATCAAAGGGCTAATTAGATTAGACAACAAAGCGCAGACATCAAAGGCTAATTAGATTAGACAACAAAGGATCTACTACAAGGGGGAATATCACACCTACATGTTACAACACCTCACCCCTTTACATCAACGGATATCACACCTATCTGTGATATCACACCTATACGCGATAACACCTCGACCAAATGGGCTCATTAGCGTATCAAATGGGCTCATTAGCATAAGTAGTAGTAGGTGTGACCTGTCACAGCACCTGTCACTTTTTATGCATACTAATGTGATGGAGGCGGGATCAGTATAACTACTTGGATTATCGAATATTATAAAATGTTTATTAAAATCACTTCATGGCTGGTCAGTGAAAATAGGTCAATGTCAACAAAATAATGATCATCCACTTGTTCAAACATTAATGACAGTGAGATAAAGTGACCTCAATGAGGCAGTCCATCAGGTGATATGATAAAAGACTTACCAGAAACCAAATGAAGATGACTATAAAATGTATTTTCTCCCTTTGCTTCCTCAATAAATCCAGTATAGTTACAAAGTCTGACTTTTAAAGAACAACACAACGTTATAAAGCATCTACAAGCAGGAAGTAGCAGAATTATGTGCGCTTTATCTGATTTTTAACACAACATTATTTGTTCTAACTGATATTAACCAGTCTCTCCCAAAACACAAGACAAGTGCTGAGTCAGAAAGTCAGAATATGACAAAGTGCAAAGCTTCTCAGCTGAAAATAGATCAGAGTGACTATGTTCATAGAGCCTGAGATCTCACCAACATCTGAGACAACTATTGGTGATTATTGTATCTCTCAGAAACAGATAAGACACATCTTTTGGTTTTCTACTAACAGTATGATTTTTTTTTTTTATAATCAACTTTGTGTATTTACAAATAGTATTGCAGTGATAAGTCTATAGTATTTAAATGTCAGAGAACATGAAAAAACATATGTAATATTTGTAAATGGCTGTTACTGTGAAGCTTGTCAGTAAGCTTTCATTTACAGGAGAAAAACAATGAGACTTCAATTTGCTGCTACTGATAGATTCCTTTTGGTTGTTGTGCAGCATTGTCGATAAAACAGCAAAGCTGTAATACAAAAAAAATATATCATATAGCGGAAGAAAATGAGTTTCCCTTTCACATGGTGAAAAGCAGATGACCACTGAAAGTGCTAGAGTGATGTTCATTGTCATGTATTTGATTGTTTTGCCGCAAACGCAAAAATACAACATCTCCGACCTCGAGAAGCAGTGTGGCACCATTAGAAGATGACCCAGCACCTGACGGCTGATGTTCATATGTAGCACAAACATTCTCTCCATTCTTGAACAACACAGCACCTGAACCATGTGAAGGATTACCGAGATCATATACGTAGAACTCAAAGTGGTAGGCTCCTTTCACCGGTGCAATGAAAAAACCTGTGGGACATTTCTTGTCAGTGAAGGTAACTTGAGATGTGTTTGTTGATCATGAATTTGAATTCAGCAAAGCCTAAAACCTGCTACTGTTTTTAAATTGTATAAGTTTGAGTACCTGTGTTTGGGTTGTGGGCAACGTTTCTGAAGACCAGATTAGTGTGCATGTTAAATGGTCCGATAGTTCCTGAGCCTGAAGCCAATAGAGAGGCTGAGAAAGCCACCTGTTTGACTGAGAGATTTTATTTACTATTTTGCGGTGGCATGTGTGAGTTCCCAGCTAGAAATGTTTGTTACCATTCGTTGTTCTTGGAATGTTTTCAGCGGGACGTTTTATTTTGGTTCCCAGAATGTTCTTCTGAAAGGTAGGATAACCTGTTTTTCAGGTCTCATGCTCGAACATGACATTCCCAGAACACATGACCATATCTTCCCTTCTAAAAGGATTAAATTAATAATCTTTTTTCTCAAAGTAATGATAAACCTGTGAGTTGGATGTAGAAAAGTCAGAATCAATATAGATGTTTTTTATTTTAAAGAAAATTCTGATTTTACATAGTAAAAAACTGTAAATTATAGTGTCCGTCCAAATATTCTTTTTTACTTATAGTGAAAACTACCCTTGGATGATGGGTTAGTAGACTAAAAGCTTTAGGAATCCAAAGTACAACATATAATAAGTACCCTGTACCACACACGCACGCACACACACACACGCACGCACACACACACACACACACACACACACACACACACACACACACACACACACACACACACACACACACACACACACACACACACACACACACACACACACACACACACACACACACACATGAAGTGAGAGAGAAAGAGAGCCATCCATCAGCAAACAATTAATAAGTGTTTATTGCAAATTGAGACACTTCAGTTCATTTCCATAGAGGGAAAGCTTTTTAACTTTGGTGACTCATTGCTCTGTTGTTTTATATCGGGCGGTTTGTCTTTTACCAATGGGGGAAAGTGGAAATCGCAAAGCATTCAGATGCCATATGTGGAGGATGACATCGGCCTACAGTTACAGCTTTCATTATCAACAATGGATCACCTCACAGTAATACATTAGCACAATACTCTCTCTTCTGCATGTCCCTTCCTCTCCCTTTCTCCTTGTTGTCTTGATATTTTTGTTTCTTTTTATATATATGTTTATGTCTTTATTGTCTTTATCAATTGATTTTGTTGGTGGTAAATACTTTTTTTGTTTTGTAAATATGTTTGTATGCATTGTGAGAAATTATTGTGTGCTGTTTTGTTTTTGTATTATTACTGTGTTTATTAAATAAAATGGTAACACATTATATATATATATATATATATATATGTGTGAACATTGGGGTTTCTGTTGTTCCATAAAAACAATAATATGTATTTCGATATATTTAAGACACTTCTATTTTATTATTGTTTTATCATTTATTATTATTTTGAACAATAACATGTTCTTTTATTTTCAAACCATCATTGTGAGGAAAATTCCTGAAGGAGTATTGCAGTGATTTGTTTGTGCTTTTATTCAAATGTATGAGAACATGAAAACAATATATTTAACTTTTTTTAGATGCCTGCTGCCTTGAAACTTGGTCGTTCATGTTTCATGTACAGGACAAACTCTGTCAATGAGACTTTAATTTGCTGGTCCTGATACAGTTATTGTGTATGTTGAGATGCAAAGCTATTAGATGGATTTGAAGCAACAAACGTAATTCCCCCTGTCACATTAACAGCACTCAGTTATTCACATTTCTATAAAACAAAGTAAAGAAACACAAAAAGATCTGACAGGAAAAGTAAAGTTGTTTCGATGAATGCTGAGCTCTAACCAACATGTAGGTATAGATTCTCCTTGTCATCTTGATCGAGGCAAAAACAAGAAATTCATGAAAAAACCACAATATTCTCATGAATTCTTGCACCTCCTTTATTTTATGTTCAAAATCTGGTACGAGTTTTCTGTTTATCACTGTGTATTTCATGCAAATCCCTCAACAAAACTGAACAAAAAATGCACACATATTTTTGATTAAAAAGTGTATTGTACAGTGTTCATATTAAGGAAAAACAAATTACACCTTTTTCAACAAGTACTGACACAAAATAAAAACGGTTTCTTTTTTCACATGGTGAAAAGTAGATGACCACTAAAGGTGCTATGACGATGTACATTGTCATATATCTTGCAGTCTCCCCACAAACGCAAAAACACAACATCTCTGACCTCCAGAAGCAGCGTGGCACCATTAGAAGATTTTACCGTACCTGAAGTCTGATGTTCATATGCAATACAAACTCTCTCTCCGTTCTTGAACAACGTAGCACCTGAAGCATGTGTCGGATGACCGTGACCGTATACGTAGAACTCAAAGTGGTAGGCTCCTCTCACTGGTGCAATGAAAAAACCTGTGGGACATTTTTTGTCAGTGAAGGTAACTTGAGATTTGTTTGCTGATCATGTATTGTATTCAGCAAAGCCTACAACCTAAAACTAATTTTAAATGATTGAGTTTGAGTACCTGTGTTTGGGTTGTAGGCATTCCCAATGTTTGAGAAGACGTATCTGAAGACCAGATTAGATTCAGTGTTAAATGGTCCGATTGTTTCTGTGCCTGAAGCCAACAGAGAGGCTGAGAAAGCCACCTGTTTGACTGAGAGAGAGAGAAAGAGAGAGAGAGAGAGACTCTACTTCATGTGTCTTTCTTTTGTTTCTTTTTACATTTGATACTTGCGGTTTTGTAATAATATATTGCTTTAAAATGTTTAATGAATGCATTTTCTTTTTATCATCATATCACAATTGAATTGTATTATCCATGACGCTTTGGCAATATTGTTCATTGAGAGAGAGAGAGAGAGAGAGAGAGAGAGAGAGAGAGAGAGAGAGAGAGAGAGAGAGAGAGAGAGAGAGAGAGAGAGAGAGAGAGAGAGAGAGAGATACATTTTTGACACATATTTGTGTCTGACAGAAATAGAGTTTGATAGTTTCAAGTATTTGATCATCACTGTCTTCATCAAGGTTAGCTTTGCCTATGGTACATTTATGTTTAAAGAATTACATGTATAATATATTATAATATATGTGTCTGCTCAAACAGGGTTTTCTCCTTGCTTAAGATACACTATCATAAATCATTTTCACTATAAATTGTCAGAGCCACGATCTTGTCCACACACTACCTTGAAGTTGTTGCTTTAACTTGTCCCCCTCAGTCTTCTGCTTCTCCAGTTCAGTCTTCTGCTTCTCCAGTTCAGTCTTCTGTATCTCCCCCTCGATCTTCTGCTTCTCCAGTTCAGTCTTCTGCTTCTCCAGTTCAGTCTTCTGTATCTCCCCCTCGATCTTCTGCTTCTCCAGTTCAGTCTTCTGTAACTCCAGCTTAGCGTTTTGTGCTTTATTAAATAATAAAATAAATGTATAGCTATTTATTGAACAATAAAAAAAAAAAAAATACCTGCACTACTTTCGTTTATTTCACAGCTACTGTAAGTTGAATACTCGATTCTGATTGGTCAATTTTGAAATTGCAGAGGTTGTTAATACAAGATAACACACAGCTGCTTAGCAAACATAATGACCGTTGCTAAGGAGAATCAAGGGAGATAAGGAAAGAGCTTTAAAGACAGAGCGTTGGACGTTAGAGAAATCGACAGAAGATGGCAGACAGGAAGTACACACTAACAGGAACACGTTATGGGCTGTTCTGGCATTGTTTAAGGACTTGTTAGTGAAAAAGAAAATGAGAACGTACTCGCACAGTAACAGTTAACCCCGATCAGTGCTGCCATTCATCTTAAGTTCAGACACTCCCCAGTTCCAGCCGTTGGTACGCATTGGAACGGAGCATTTTTTACAAGCAATACGATACGTTTTAAGTCGATACAATTATTCTGAAATTAATATTGTGACTCAAGTCGTTGGTTTGTTGCGATCAAAATCCCTCTGCTTCACATTGGGCTCCATGATCACCCAGTGTTCTTTTTTCATTAACGATCGCCTCGCTGCACATTGTTTAGTTACTATTTAAGCAATGTTAACAGTATGACTCTGGATAGGCAAATGTTGGTTATTCAGTTGCTACAGAGATTGTGATGTTACTGCCACCAGAAAGACATTTTGAGTGACAAACTGGATTTCATTGGGCATGTTGGACACATCAAGTCGACATTGTAGTAAGTCCAATAGCTCGGTTTATAACTCAACTACAAATACTCCCAACAGCATAGGCTGTATGTTGCTGGGGTGCTGATAAGCATATGATAGCAGCATGCTAACATGCCAAACTAGTCTTTTGATAACCTCCTTCCTTTAGAAATGAATTGTGTGACATAATTAATGACAATTAATGGGATTGTCGGACATGTTCTCTGCAACATCAGATTATTGTTGTTTTAAAATAAAAAGGTGAACAAGCATGTATCAATAGTTTTTCAGACTGAAAGTTGTTACATCTGTTAATACATGTATTCTGCAACGTAAAATAGTATAGTGAAACAACTTTATATACAAGAACGGTTTCCATATTTCCCGACCGTGGGCTAAAATAATGTGATACAGTATGTGAAATACATTCTGCAATGAAGACAATCTTTGACAGTTTAAAGAATTTCAACATCACTGCTTTCATTAGCAACTGAAAACTTGTTCTAGTAAATTAGTAACATGTCATTAAATCATTAAAAAACGTTTTGAATATATTTAGGACAAATGTATTGTCTCCAATTTGATATATAACTATTCATTGTATACCTTGTTGCTGTAGCTTCAACATGTCCATCTCAGTCTTCTGTAACTCCAGTTCTCTCAGCTTAGCTGCCTGTGCTAAAAAGAAAGGTATAAAAAACGATTCTAAGGTAAAACCCATTCTTCACAAACAACAGCTCTGTAATTCCCCACCTTGGGCTAAAATAATGTGATACAGTAGCAATGTGAAATAAATTCTGCAATGAAGAAGGATGACCGAGATCATATACGTAGAACTCAAAGTGGTAGGCTCCTCTCACTGGTGCAATGAAAAAACCTGTGGGACATTTCTTGTCAGTGAAGGTAACTTGAGATTTGTTTGTTGATCATGTATTTGAATTCAGCAAAGCCTAAAACCTGCTACTATTTTTAAATTGTATAAGTTTGAGTACCTGTGTTTGGGTTGTGGGCAACGTTTCTGAAGACCAGATTAGTGTGCGTGTTAAATGGTCCGATAGTTCCTGAGCCTGAAGCCAATAGAGAGGCTGAGAAAGCCACCTGTTTGACTGAGAGATTTTATTTACCTACTGTGAATTCAAGTTTTTAAATGTGCACATATTTGTGAATAAGCCTGTTCAAAACTTAATTAAATAATTTAGATCTATGTTTTACCTTCTCCGTCCCAGCTAGCGGGGAACGTTCTCACAACTTTGGCTAACATTACCTACAGGTTCTAATAAGGTTTTAAAGAAACGTTTTAATCTGATTTTCAAAGAACCTTTTTAGGATGTTTATTTTTTCAAATAATGTTCCTATAAGGTTCAAGGTTAACTAAGACATAACGTTTTAACTGCAACATTCAGAGGATGTTTTGAGGATGTTATTGAGGCCTGAGATGACAGAAAGTTTTTTATAAAACGTTCCTTTAATGTGATATGTTAACAAAGGTGGAACGTTTTGCCTGCAACATTCTAAGGATGTGTTTTGGACGTTGTTGGGTAACACATTAAAGATGTTCTTTATAAAACAAATGAAGAACATTTTCAAAGCAACATTCTGAAAATGTTTTCAGGATGTTATTCTTTTTTTTATAAAACGTTCCTGTTATGGTAAATATTAACACGGTCATGGTCAGATTTATTTTTAGAGCGCTTTAAAAAACAAACTTGTTGCATTTGTTTGAAAATAATGTTTTAAAAAAAATCTGATGTCACCATATTTTCCATTTGAAAAAAACAAACAAGCACGTAATTCATGATAAGCTGTAAGCAGATATTGCATGTTTGCAGTGGCATTTGTGAGTTCCCAGCTAGAAATGTTTGTTACCATTCGTTGTTCTAGGAATGTTTTCAGCGGGACGTTTTATTTTGGTTCCCAGAATGTTCTTCTGAAAGGTAGGATAACGTTCTTTAAAAACATTCTTGAAATGTTTGGTGATAACCTTCTTAAGATGTTTTTGATAACCTTCTTAAGATGTTTTTGATAACATTGTTATCACATTATGCCCTACTGTTCTTAAAAACGTTTTCAGCAGGACGTTTTATTTTGGTTCCCAGAATGTTCTTCTGAAAGGTAGGATAACGTTCTCTAAAAACATTCTTAACATTTTTGGTGATAACTTTCTTAACCTGTTAAGCTCTGAGCCTGTTTTTCAGGTCTCAGGCTCGAAAATGACATTCCCAGAACAAATGACCATATCTTCCCTTCTAAAAGGGTTAAATTAATAATCTTTTTTCTCAAAGTAATGATAAACCTGTGAGTTGGATGTAGAAAAGTCAGAATCAATATTGATGTTTTTTATTTTAAAGAAAATTCAGATTTTACATAGTAAAAAACTGTAAATTATAGTGTCCGTCCAAAAATTATTTTTTACTTATAGTGAAAACTACCCTTGGATGATGGGTTAGTAGACTAAAAGCTTTAGTGGTAGGCTCCTCTCACCGGTGCAATGAAAAAACCTGTGGGACATTTTTTGTCAGTGAAGGTAACTATCGATTTGTTTGTTGATCATGTATTGTATTCAGCAAAGCCGAAAACCTAAAACTAATTTTAAATGATTGAGTTTGAGTACCTGTGTTTGGGTTGTAGGCATTCCCAATGTTTGAGAAGACGTATCTGAAGACCAGATTAATGTGCGTGTTAAATGGTCCGATAGTTCCTGAGCCTGAAGCCAACAGAGAGGCTGAGAAAGCCACCTGTTTGACTGAGAGAGAAAGAGAGAGAGAGAGAGTCTACTTCATGTGTCTTTCTTTTGTTTCTTTGTTTCTTTTTTACATTTGATACTTGCAGTTTTGTAATAATATATTGTTGTAAAATGTTTAATGAATGCATTTTTTTTATCATCATATCACAATTGAATTGTATTATCCATGACGCTTTGGCAATATTGTTCACCTGACATTCATGCCAATAAAGCATATTGAATTGAATTGAGAGAGAGAGAGAGAGAGAGAGAGAGAGAGAGAGAGAGAGAGAGAGAGAGAGAGAGAGACATTTTATTTCCCTACTGTGAATTCATGCTTTAAAAATACGTACATATATTACAAATTCAATCTATTATTTAGATGTTTTACCTTCTCCGTCTCTCTTCAGAGCCTCCACCTGGTTTTCTGTGACATTTGACCTGGCTTTCACAGTGATCAGCTCTGCTGCTTGTACTGTGAACAAAGTGACATCATTACATATTTGTGTCTGACAGAAATAGAGTTTGATAGTTTCAAGTATTTCATCATCACTGTCTTCATCAAGGTTAGCTTTGCCTATGGTACATTTATGTTTAAAGAAATACATGTATAATATATTATAATATATGTGTCTGCTCAAACAGGGTTTTCTCCTTGCTTAAGATACACTATCATAAATCATTTTCACTATAAATTTTCAGAGCCACGATCTTGTCCACACACTACCTTGAAGTTGTTGCTTTAACTTGTCCCCCTCAGTCTTCTGCTTCTCCAGTGCAGTCTTCTGTATGTCCCCCTCGATCTTCTGCTTCTCCAGTTCAGTCTTCTGCTTCTCCAGTTCAGTCTTCTGCTTCTCCCCCTCGATCTTCTGCTTCTCCCCCTCGATCTTCTGCTTCTCCCCCTCGATCTTCTGCTTCTCCCCCTCGATCTTCTGCTTCTCCAGTTCAGTCTTCTGCTTCTCCAGTTCAGTCTTCTGTATCTCCCCCTCGATCTTCTGCTTCTCCTGTTCAGTCTTCTGTAACTCCAGCTTAGCGGTTTGTGCTTTATTAAATAATAAAATAAATGTATAGCTATTTAATGAACAATAAAAAAAAGAAAATTCCTGCACTACTTTCGTTTATTTCACAGCTAAGTAGAATACTCGATTCTGATTGGTCAATTTTGAAATTGCAGAGGTTGTTAATACAAGTTAACACACAGCTGCTTAGCGAAAATAATGACCGTTGCTAAGGAAAATCAAGGGAGATAAGGAAAGAGCTTTAAAGACAAAGCGTTGGACGTCAGAGAAATCGACAGAAGATGGCAGACAGGAAGTAAACACTAACAGGAACACGTTATGGGCTGTTCTGGTATTGTTTAAATACAAATACAAAATATTTGAGATTATGCAAGGGAAGGCCATGTGGCAAGACCAACCTGGTCTCACCAGAATGCGTGACTCCACCACGACTCCTTAACACCGCAGTGCGTGGTGGAGTCACGAACTTTGCTACATTTACGTGTCTGCACCACGCAAACAACCCCAATGTAAAGTGAATGAGGCTCCTTTGTCCTTAACCCTAGCCCTGAACAGCTCTACGCCAATTATGGGATGTCATCATATGTCAACGGCCCAAAACTTCACAGGTTTGATACCGATGCAGCCCTCAACACATCTAGGCGTATTATGGGGTGTCATCAAATTATGTTGCCATGGCGACAGATCCCTCGCCATGAAACACAGTGTTGTCATAACTCGATGGAAAATGGTCCAAACTGCACCACACTTCAGATGACAGTTAATGGTCCGGCCCTCAACACCTCAATATGACAATAGTGAGTTTTCCTCAAAAGCTGTTGCCATGGCAACGCATCCCTCGCCGTTAAGCACGATATTGCTCTAACTCCTCTGTAAATGGTGAAAAAAAGGGTTCAGATTTCACATGTGTGCTAACCGTCAAGCCCTCGACACATATATGTGTCAGTTTTTAGATTTCGTCAAATGTCGTTGCTATGGTAACAAAATGGTCGCCGTGAAACACGGTTTTCTCATAACTCCAGTCAACATGCTCCAAACGGCACACAACTTTACAGGTTTGATAACGATGCAGGCCTCAACACATCTAAGCGTATTATGGGGTGTCATCAAATGCCGTTGCCATGGTGATAGATCACTCGCCATCAAACACAATGTTTATGATACTGCTGTAACTCCTAAATACGTTGTCCGATCGGCCTGAAACTTCCCACGTTTGCCAACGGCCGAGTCCTCGAGACACCTACACACCTCGACGTGTGGACAACAGCCTGCGGAGCGTCGAAGACCCGCTCAACGCTGCTTGCAGCTTTAATTGTTATTATTATTATTATTAGGCGCCGCTTTCCACCTTCTTCTCCAGTAGGACTCAGATGAGGGTGTACTCTTATGTGTGGCTGTGAAAAAAAAATGTTATTATGAAGGGCAGACCATCTATTTGTATTTTTTTTTTTTTTTTTTTTTTAGAAAGGGGCAGGTCATATACGATTTTATTCTTCTCCCTGCTCCTTTTCGCTCAATGGTGTGTAGAGACATGTTTTGTTGGCAATTATTGTACATTTGGCTATGCGTACCATGAGCGGGACAAATAATAATGAAATGAAATATCCCAACCAATCAGCTACTGTGGTGACTTGCACAGTGGAGCTTATCATGTTTGTTAGATAATGGGCCCTGCAGTCCCGCCACTTTGGATCAACAGGGACAGTGAGGGGGCTTAAAGCCTCTTGATACAATCTTGGCCCCCATTCCCTGTTCAATAAAGCACTATAAACAAGATTGGATAACACTGTGGTCATCATCTAGAAGTTAATAATGAAAAATAATCAAACTGAGTTCTTAGAAGTCCATTCAAACACATTCAACAGCTGTAGTCGATACTGTATCAGGTCACCATTGTCTTTAAATGCTTTCACACCTCAGGGGCAGATACGCCATGATTGTATCACAATATCATAGCTAATCACATCTCTGTGGTCTTGTATCTCATAGCATCTCTAGCTCTGATGTTTAGATCTAACTTTGAAAAGGGTGATGTTAGTTTCCCCTTTTTATGTTTGCATACAGCACACAAAAACAAACAGGTTTTGGACCAAACTTCTACACAAAGACAGAAAAAAACATTTATGTACATAAAAGATTTGGATATAAAAAGAGATTCAAGTAGAAACACAACACATATTCTGTAGTACCACCAAGGTACAAGACAGCATATGATACTTTATGAAGACTCCTGTACTTTTACTTAAGTAGGATTTTGAACACAGGAAATAATTGCTCATATTACTCATTAAAAAAAGTATCTTTGCATTGATGTTTGATACTTTTAATCACAGTAAGTCAAGGATCTGAGTACTATAACTACACAAACCATCTTAATTTAATTATTTATTTACTTTTTGTTCAATGGCAACTTTCTTTGGACATGCAGCTATCTGCAGTATTGTGATGGCTCATTTTTCTCCTTGACCTTTTTCAATATTTGAACACAAGCTTTCCCTACCTTTCCTTAGCAAAGAGTTTTCAATTGTTTAGGATTAAGACTAAAGATTTAAGAAATACTTTATAAATCCACAAGGGGAAATTACATTTGTCCCAACCCTGACCCTTTTCACTCTGTTGTTATTGACATGACATCACACACATACTTTAACCACACTCTATTCATGTTTTGGTAGCCAAGTGCATATACTGGTATGATAATTATATTCTGATTCTGATTCTGATAACTATTTTTTTTTTTTTTTTTAAATCACATGACTGAATGTTAACCAGGGTTTTCAGTCATTAACACTTTGGTTTAAAGCATCATACTCATTCTAAACAACTTTTTAAACTATGTATTGGAAGCTGTGGGGAATTAAAGCAGAAGACATGAGCGGAGAAGTATTTTGCGTTGGCTCTTTCCTGAACTTCAGTTTTTGGTGCTCCCATATCAACTGCTGAACTGGATGGTTAACTTTCTGCTGAGAAACATTTGATATTTGTTATAACAAAATAAACAATCCATGGAATCACACGGCTAAAAATCGATAGTTCTCTTGCAGCTGCTGTGTTGCAATAATCAGATACACTTACACAAGATACAGAATTGTTGGGACACTAACACCCATACCATACATGTCAATCTGAATTAAAAGCTTGAAATAACACAAGATAAAGATTACACAAGATGATAAGTGAAAAACAAGTTAAGGTTTAGCAGCCGAAAGAAGTGAAACTTACTTACAGAACTTTGTGTTCCAAACCAGAAGTCATCATGCCAATGGCAATGATCTTGTTTTTGACTGATTCAACATGATGTTTTGTGTCAGAGAACAACAAACATGACATGGTTCTGTTACACGTTGGTAGCTTAAATACAAATACAAAATATTTGAGATTATGCAAGGGAAGGCCATGTGGCAAGACCAACCTGGTCTCACCAGAATGCGTGACTCCACCACGACTCCTTAACACCGCAGTGCGTGGTGGAGTCACGAACTTTGCTACATTTACGTGTCTGCACCACGCAAACAACCCCAATGTAAAGTGAATGAGGCTCCTTTGTCCTTAACCCTAGCCCTGAACAGCTCTACGCCAATTATGGGATGTCATCATATGCCGTTGCCATGGTGACAGATCCCTCGCCATGAAACACAGTGTTGTCATAACTCGATGGAAAATGGTCCAAACTGCACCAGACTTCAGATGACAGTTAATGGTCCGGCCCTCAACACATCAATATGACAATAGTGAGTTTTCCTCAAAAGCTGTTGCCATGGCAACGCATCCCTCGCCGTTAAGCACGATATTGCTATAACTCCTGTGTAAATGGTAAAAAGTGTTCAAATTTCCCATGTGTGCTAACCGTCAAGCCCTCGACACACATATATGTGTCAGTTTTGAGATTTCGTCAAATGTCGTTGCTATGGTAACAACATGGTCGCCGTGAAACACGGTTTTCTCATAACTCCAGTTAACATGCTCCAAACGGCCCAAAACGTCACAGGTTTGATAACAATGCAGCCCTCAACACATCTAGGCGTATTATGGGGTGTCATCAAATTCCGTTGCCATGGCGACTGATCACTTTCCATCAAACACAATGTTTATGATACTGCTGTAACTCCTAAATACATTGTCCGATCGGCCTAAAACTTCCCACGTTTGCCAACGGCCGAGTCCTCGAGACATCTGCCTGACGTCGACGTACGGACAACAGCCTGCGGAGCGTCGAAGACCCGCTCAACGCTGCTTGCAGCTTTAATTATTATTATTATTACAGTATGTAACAAGACATGAAACTATAAGTGTTAATTGTGTCTAAATAACTCAAAATTAGGTATTTATATCTAAGAATGCGTTTTGGGGTATTGACAGTTCAGCTACCAATAGCAAGGTGATATTGACCTGTATGTTTCATATTTGCACATTTATATATTTGTAAAATGTGTACTGAAGGTTAGACAGGAAACTGGGTACAGGAAGTAGGAGAAAGTGAACTGAATAGCATGGCAGTAGACATCCATGAGTAGACTGCTACTAATTTTCCCTATGCAACCTGAAGAGTAAAAGGGTCAAGTCCGTCAGAAAGCAATGACTGTAAATGTAATCCTTACACTTGCACTGTAAGGATTAGTAACATGTATTGTGTTTATGTGATGACATTTGGAGAAGTTTAAACACAATGAGAAAATGCGTAAGAAGCTTATTGCACTGTATATATATATACATATATATGTATACATATATATATATATATATATATATATATATATATACATACATATACATGTATGTATATGTATGCTTTTCAACAGTTAAATCGAACGGACTTCTTTGTGCAGATGTGAACGGTCAATAAATCCTTGACAGCGGTCTGTCTGTTCTGGATTACCAACGTGTCACGTGTTCTGAATTGACCAATCAGAATCGAGTATTCAACTAAGCCATGTAATAATTGTAGATAATTTATGTTTGTGTGTTGTGTTTTTACTGTTGTTTTCCTGAGAATATGCTCAAAGGTTTTTTTTCCACATGTTTATGGTCAATATTTTCCTTAATGATTGATCAGGAGTATACACTATATAAAGCTGGGATTACCACAGAAACTCTAAAGTAGATCTGAACAGACTGCCACTTTGAGAATGGAGATGACCATGTGTTTTCCTCTGTTGCTGCTGATCTGCTCTCTCTCTACGGCTCAGCTTCAGTCTGACAATGACATTGTTCCACATCATGCTGAATCCCAGGGAGGAGAACCAACAAATGTGTCTGAGCACCAACAGACCTGTCCTCAAGACATCCACGCTGTGCTGAGAGAGATGAGCGCCTCTTTGGCTGAACAGAGGGTGGAGATGAGGCACCTTCAGAGAGAGAATGAAGGTACTGTAGTACCTATTAGACTCTATTTTCTGAGGAAGCTGAGATCCTTCAACGTATGCAGTAAGATGCTGGAGATCTTCTATCAGTCTGTTGTGGCTAGTGCACTCTTCTTTGCTGCGGTCTGCTGGGGGGGCAGCATCAGAGCCGGTGACACCAGCAGGATCAATAAACTGATCAGGAAAGCTGGGTCAGTCATCGGCATCAAGCTGGAACCCTTTGAAGCTGTGGTGGAGAGGAGGACACTGAACAGGCTGTTGTCCATCATGGATAACCCCACCCATCCTCTCCACCTGCAGCTGGACAGTCAACCGAGCTCCTTCTCCAACAGACTGCTGCAGCTCCCCTGCCACAAGGACAGATACTGGAAAACATTCCTGCCCACTGCAATAACACTGTACAACAAATCACCTCTGGCTGGAAGAGAACTCTCTGCTCCATAGTTTCTCTAGAAATAAAACCACCTTGTACATTTTACTCACACATAATCTGTTTCATATTTAATACTCCATAATTCCATATATTTTGAATATATATATATTTGTATATATATATATATATATATAATATCTGTATGTATATTTTCTATTTTGTATTTTGACATGTATATTTTATATTTTATTTTATATTTTATTTTATTTTATTTCTATTCTTGTATATTTTGTTTTATTGTAAAATGCCTTTTATGCTGCTGTAACAAAAACAATTTCCCAATTTGGGATCAATAAAGTACGATCTATCTATCTACAGATGGAGCCTCTTATTTTGGACCCCAGCATACAGCTTCCTGCCGACTGCCAGCCAGTTGCCAGCCAGTTGCCTGCCAAAGACCAGTATTCAGGAATGTTAGGCCCTCCCACTATTCTCCAATTTCAGGGTTTAACCAGGAGATGGCGCTATATATTAAATAACTAAGACTTAGTTTTTCACAATAGAAAATGCAGATATTATATAAAAAACTAAAGTTAAAATCTTGTTTTTAATGCCCCAAGAGCAATAACATCTTGTCACAAGCTTTTTGGAAGAAAAAGACTGACTCAAGAGACCTGTAGTTGACTAATTACAGGCCTCAATAAAGTTCTGCCATTGGTTGTGAAAAACAACGGTGGACATAGTGGAAAGTGAAATTGACATTGTCGAATTTAATAAAAATACAAAATAATGTATCTGTGTACGTGTTTTACTATGTGATCTGCACTTATCAAACATCTAATTAAGGCGAGACACCCCAGGTGAATAGGGTATTTTTAACTTAAAGATATCAGCTAAATATTTCTCCAGTTAATTACTTACAATAAGGCAATTGTTTTTTGTATTACAAGTTTTCTGAAATAGCATGTTTAAATATCCAAATGAACCATTATCTCATGAAATATGCGCATATTTTAACACATTTCAGGAACCGAAATCTGAACTTTGGATAAAGCCAGGATCAAAATTATTGTTTCATTTTGTAGTCATATTAGTATCTAAGGCTTTTACAGAAGGGATTTTGGATATCTCTTTTTATCACTCCATAAATCAGAAAATACTGTCAACAGCCCTAAAATATCAATTTTCACCATGTTTTTAGG